TTCAACACTAGATATCACTAAATTCTACACACTGTAACTTTAATCTTTAATTTCATTTTTAGTTCAACTTTGGATGCATGTAATCCAGCTGCTCTGTTCTGAGGTGTAATTCACAGTGATGTCTTGTCCTCCACGAAAAATGATTCTTTTAAATCTCGAGGAGTAAAAGTCATCATGCATTAAAATATTAATGATGTAAGTTAAAATGATCTATTGTTGAAGTTATGATCAGTTATTCCTGTAGAACATTAGAACTACACCAGTTAAAGGGGCTGGGAGAACAGCCATAGCATGAAAACATGTGTGTATAATAAACAGGTGCCATTGGATTATGTGAGGTCATTTCATTCATCCAAGTTTATTGTACTTTGTGGTTGTTGTAGGAAGAAGCCTTGTGAGTATTGAGAATAGTAGCGCTCAGGTTTAACATTGTTTAACCAAGTTATCCAAACCACATTGTGATGTGTTATCATTTCGTTTCATGCTTGTCCTTGTTTCATTTTGAAGATGATCTCGTAGCCTGTAAACTAAACAACATAATATTTTTACAAAAATAATTTGAAATATGAAGCAGCCTTTCTTCTGATAATAATTTCAGGTCCTGATCCACCCAGGTATGCACTGTTGTTGATACATTATTGGTTTTCATATCGACTTGTGCAGGTGGCTCTTTCTTGACTTAATCCAAGAGTTTAGGTTGCGTAGATATACAGGAAATTTGCTTTCACATAGGGGTTGACCTTTGCTCCCCTATTTGAAAGCATAACCAGGGACCCTCATTCGCATCTTTATGCAGAGTGAGACTATAAACCAACTTTTTGACAGCAAGAATATTTCTATCAACATAGCCTTGGAGAGCAAAATGACAATTTTCTGTTACATTCCAGTACAGCATAAACCACTTGATACTGCTTGAGACAATGGGCCCTTCCCTTTGTGTTGAAAGCAGTAAAGATATCTGTCCAGTCCTCCCCAGCCTCAGTCCTCTGCTCACTGTCCACTGGCACCTGTATCTCTTCTCTGAGGGATACGCGTCTTGTTTTTCTCGAATATCACAGGGGGTTTGCCATTAATTCTATGTAATAATAATTTAGTATCAATAATTAATAATAATAATACATTCCYAGTGACTTAATGAGTAGTGTGGCTCATAAAAGACACTGCAGGTCGTATTCCTCTTATAAACTTTAAGAGGAAATATATATAAAACGTGGAAGATATAGAATAGTAACAAAATGAAGACACACACGCATTTTTGCACTATCTTGTATAGTTTTTAACGTTTATTTTTATTGTTATATATCATTTCTTTTCTACTAAATGCACCTTTCAGTGGTAGCGGCTGTAATTTTGCCCCCTGCTTCATTGTGTGATGACATTAAAGGCATTCTTTTCTATTCTATGCAGGCGCACACACACAACAATTTATGTTGCTTTCCTCTGCTATCTCTGTTAGGATCTGCCTCTTGAGTCACTCCATGTATGGATTTTGATATTCTTAATTTCTGTTTGATTTTGTTTAATGTGTCCGCTGTTGTTTTTCCCTCTGCTCCAGTGTTCCCATGTTGCTTCTCACTTTTTGTCACTTTGTCTTTTGTGTTTCTCCCGAGTTTGGATTACTTAGATTGCATCCTGTTCCGCATCTGCCTCTCTGCCAGAGGCACAACAATCCATGACGAAACACAGGCCTTCACCAGACTACAAAGCTTTAGAGTGGTTAACTTAACTGTCAATAGCTGTATCCCTTAAACAGTGTAAATGTAAGGGAGAGGTAGAGAGAGTGAGAGAAGGATGGTCTAATCCTGGCCTTAAACCCTGGTAAAAATAGGACGTTGAGTAGATGGGAGTATGGAAGCGGGAGATTAAGCCAAGGGATTAACTCTCCATTTGATTATAGGAGCATTCACTGCTGGAGGTGCAGGAAGAAAGTAATTGAGAGGAAAGGAGAGGAGAGGAGAGGAGCAACAGCCCATGCAGGGAGAGAAAATATTAACAGAGGAAGATAATGACACTCAGTAGAGCACACACATCTACTAAGGCACCTTAAAATGAATCAGGCAGCACCAAATTTCAGTCCCCTGAATATAGGGGATAATAGTTTGGCCTGATTAAGGTGGTTTTGAAATGCAAGTCGAATAGTGTGCAGGAGCTCTTTTTGATCTACTCATCCCTCTCATACCCACCTGTTCCACCCAATGGAGGTGCGAAGTATTCTTTAGTTCACCTAAATATGCCACATTGTTTACATCGAGATCGATGCACTATTCCTGGGGAAATCTCAGAAAATACCTGCAATGTTAACATGTCACAGGTTCTTTCTTGAACGTCCCATCCTTCTAAGGTTTGAAGGAAGGGGGTGTAAAGGACACGTGAAAGATAGAGGGAATTATCTAGCACATACTATATGTATGTGATTGGAGGTCTGATGATTTCCTGGGGAGGGATGTGGGGATGGAAAGTGTATGTGCATGGTACCTGTTGCAAACAGTTAATCAAAAAACTGCAATGAATGATTGTGTCAATGAACCGTGCTTGTGTGTGTGTGTGAGAGAGAGAGAGCTTATGAGATGAGGAAACTGGGCAGTTGTGATTCTAAGCATGTGCATGTGTGCAGGGCTGTACATTTCACCTAAGACAAAGTGAACTCAACCAGAGGCTTTGTGTCTTCCAGTCTGTCTTCTAATCATTTAACAGTCAGAGTTGATCAGAGGCAGCGGAGCCACAAATACTCCCAGTGTGGAGGATACACTTCATCTCTGGGTCTCACGCTCTGCTGCTGCGTCTATCAAAAGCCAGAGGCAGCCAGCTGAGGACGCAACTTATGAAAACTGGATGTTTCAAAGCAGATCCAGAGTTTTGATAAGGCCCGAGAGACATCATATTTTCAAACTCCTAGGAAGCAATGCTTAGAAAACTTGCATATGAATCTGCTTAAATTATCGAGAGTAAGGCTGTAATCAAGATTATTTCTATTAATATGATGTAATGCCCAGTGACTTTGTGGATAGCATGCAGCTCTTTACATAAAATATATAAACAGCTGATTTTAATCTTTGATTCCTTTTAAAAGCTTTATTCGTAGGCTACAAGCCCGAGGACGTACTTACATATTATAATCTATACAGCACATGTGTGCACTCATTTATTCATGTAAACACGTCTGTATGAGTCAAATCATCTTATCATGGTGGGCATCATGAGTAACCTAGGATTGCAAACACAGACTTTACTACAAAGCAGCCTGAAGGTTAAGCATTCAAGAGTGTGTGGAGAAACAGAGAATGCCACATCTCCCAGCATTTTTCTTTTTAGGTAAAAGCTGCTGTATGCAAATTCTGCAGTCCCTCTGACCCCTCATAAAGGTGCAAAATAGTTTAGCCCACCCAACCAGTACTCTCAACACTCAAACGCTGCAAACTGCTGAGGAGACACTGGAGGGGGGAGTCAGCCAGGAATCATACTTGCATTGTAAAACATGAATGAATCAGTATCAGGACATATCAACGTTACCCAACAAAACTTTCAAACACATGGCGCTAGTCTCGAACACATTTGTTGTTAGCTTATGAAGTACTCTGAGGTTCATTTTTGGAATTGTGTCGTTAAGAGCCATGAATTACACCATGGGAAATTGGTGAAAATGGCAAAACAATCAAAATAAAAATGCAATGTTAAAGGAAGTGATAAAAAATGTGTACAGATCCACCCCAAAATTGAATCTGCTCTTCTTTGCCCCATAGCACATCCTTCCACCAAGTTTCAATTAAACTGATTTAGTAATTTTGGCATAATTCTGCTAAAAATCAGACAAATCGCAATGGCAGCATAACTTCCTTCACAGGTTATCCTACTGATCAATAAAACAAAATCTGATTACATTTTTTTTCTACTGTTCTGTGGTTAAATTATATTAGAAATAGGCCCAGCAGCCGGCTTCAGTTTAATTTTTGCCAAATCAAAACGGAGAATTTAAATTCAATTTTTTTTCTGATCCAATGGCAATATAATATTTTCTCAAGAATAATAATGTTTTTCCTGTCTCGAATGGAATTTAAGTTATCGATGTAAAAAGATATATGAGAAATATCTATGGCTGGAATGTGGCTTATCTTTAGCGAGATGCAATCTGTTATATCAGACCAACATTTCTTGGACACAGGGTGTTACGTGAGTTCTTTCTTTGTTTATTGTCAGCGTTATTGTTGCTGCAATCAGGGAAACGTAACATGAAATAAAAAACATATGCTCAAGTGTTTCCTCTAACATGTAACAAAAGGTGCGGGGGTCCAATTCATACCTGAACAGTTTTGGGGGGAATACATTCTAAGATAGTGTAGCTCGAGGTTCAAATAATTATGGTAGGCAAGTTTCTTTACAGTTTCATCCAAACTACAAGTCTCAGCAAAGGCACATGCTGGAGGCGACCCAGCTTCACCTCCTTATTCCTCTGGAAATACAAAATGCAGTAACACATATCAACCATTAACTAGTTGCTTATTAGCATGGATATTAGAGGCATATTGGCTCTTTATTAATCATTATACAGCACTTATTAATGCCTTATTCTTAATGACCTTATTCTGCAGCTACTCCATTGATTAACAGTTTCCATTTATAACCTCCTGATTACTGCTTATTGATGGTAAGTAAGGAAGTTGTTGTACATGAATTACAAGGGCTTGGATATGTTCACATTGTGTGTTCCCTAATATCAAGTGTTACCCACAATGCAGCTGCTTAAATCGTGTAATGTGCAATTCCACCCTTTAGCTCCCTCTGGACCATCTGGAGCAGGTAACTAGAGAGACTTCCTGCAAACACCATCCTCTCACCTTACTCCCCTCTGCACGAGCTCATTCACAATGACTACATGGCTCTTTTAAAGTCAAACATACATGTTGCACTCGCTCAGTAGTGAGGACAGTTTCTCTGTCTGAACTTGACGCACACGTGAGCCGCCCCGTTCCGCGCTCTCTGCTCGTGGCTCCTCTGACTTGCCGTAGATGCGCCTCCTCCTCGCGTATATAAAGCGGCCGCGCAGCCTCCTTGCCCCTCTCCCACGTTAACCAGGATATCAGCTGCTGTCACCGGATCTCCCCTGCCGTCAAGGTAACATTAGATCAAGCTTCTCTGCCGGTGTTTGCAATCGATCCACAGAACAAGCGTCCTCCTCAGTCACCCTGTGGTTTACAGGAAGCAGCTCCGCGCTCCTCAGTTCGGTGCTCCTCTGTAGACGCGGGTGTTACCGGCAGGTCATGCACAAAGACCTCCATGCTTCCAGCTCGGTTAAATCTTCACGTGTTTATTAGTTTATGGAACATTAGATGGAGGGTGGCAGTGTAGGACATGTTGTTCCGGTGCGGTCGTGGCGCGATGAGGCGTTCACTGTCTGACGGAGCTGGAAGTGATTCGTCTTGCAGCGCCACGAACAAAAGACCATGTGGCTGTCGGTGAGGGCCCCGGGCCTGTCCCGGATTGTCCCGGGCCTGTACCGGGTTGTCCCGGGTCTCCCGAGTGTGTCTCTGCGGCTGGTGAGGAGCCTCAGCTTGAATCTCGGTCCTCATACGGACTGAGGAACCGTTAGAGAGCAGCTTTTACGCCAGCGATCACATCTACTTCCTGAAATGAAGTCACTGAACTGTACAAACCTGACGGAGCCTCATCCCATAATGCTCCTCTAGTGTTGTACTTCCTGAGGAGTAACCATATGTTTTAGTATGTGCTCATGGTGAACTAGTGGAAGAGCCTTATTAAAGCTCCTGCTGTTTTTAGATCGCTCTGCAAATGATAGTCTTGGGTCATTCTCCCAGTGGAAATAGAATTTAGCTGGAGCAGGTGTCCTGAAGCTTTTGTCTGACCCAACAGTTCATCCTGACTGAAAAAGGCACACCCTTTTCTATCACTTATTCCCAATGTGACAAATCATTAAAGTAAATGCATTTACATAAATGTCAGTCAACACTTAACCAAATAATTAGACGAGCCTTTCACAGACGTATATCAAAAATGTTCTTTATGTTCGTCAATATGCTCTGATGCAACTCTATTTTACATGATAAAGGATGCTTCAACTCTATATTTGGTTTCTTTGTCAAAAGGGTTTAATTATCACCATCATCAATTCCTTTTTAAAATTTTCTATTGGCAGATAAATGGGGGAAAAAGAGAAAATGTCACACCCTAAAGAAGGAACACCTCAAGCCTGTTCCCAGAAATCTAGTCATTGTGCTTGACTGCAACTTGCTCTTCAAAGGCACTTAGGAAAATCGACAGGCGGAGTCGATGGACTAAAATTTTTTTATTGTGTTGCTTTTCCAGATTTTTACCTGGGTTCTGTTTTTATTTTCTATCCTTTTATTCTTTGTACCGTTTCTTTCTTTTGTCGTCTGATAGCTTTGCTTGGTGAAGCACTTTGGAACCATGTGTTAAGTCCGATATAAATCAAGATTAGAATGTCTGATGGGGTCATGCATCTTTATTTTAATACATCTAACAAAGAATGTCAGAATTAGATCACCTAAAATCCATATTGGTTTGGGCCCCCTTCAAGTGACTCTTGCATTTGATCTTTGAAGTTTTAAACAATTCTACACATGGAAAAGAAATGACATTCTAGAGCTGATAAGTAAGTTAATTCTTCAGGCACCAGCTGCGTGCATGAGGTGTGAGCAGCTAAACCTGTGCTGGACTCTGTCCGGTGTACCTGACAGTGCAGGGATAAAGTCATTCCCTCTCTGTGGGCGGGGCTGGCATCAAGTCACGGTGGTTCAGCAGTCAGATCCTCACTCACCTTCACATCGTCTGTGCGTTCCCTGTACAATGGGGTCGGGGCCCTCGGCAGCCGGCCCCACTGCTGCCTGTGCCAAATGCGATGAAGTGGCGTGAGTGACACTCAGGCTTCCCCCTCTGGCAGTCTGCACTTTTTTTTTTTTATTGTCTTCAATCCTTTTCTTTTCTTCTTTGTTTTCAGAATCATGGCTGAGCTTAAGGAGCGCACCTTTATTGCCATCAAGCCCGATGGTGTACAGAGGGGCATCATTGGAGATATCATCAAGAGGTTTGAGGCAAAGGGCTTCAAACTCGTGGGCATGAAGTTCGTCCATGTAAGTAAACAGAATATAATGTCATGCTTGCATTCGCCTGTCGGGTTAGGGATGTTGCAGTCCTTTCGTAGAGGTCACAGGGTGTTATTTTTAACTGCCGTAGGGTGTGCACATGATCTTGTGAGTGTGCCGGTTAACCCTTAAGACCTCCGGTGAGCTGATTAGCCTGCTTTTGTCTATTCCTGACTGTAGCATGACCAACGTCTCCTGATCCTTGAACATCTGATCTGTGGCAGACGGATGTTTTCTTTACCGTGTAGCGTGGTTCATTTATAACCCTGCATTTTACAAGCACTTCTATTTAAAAGAACCTGCATTCTTCTGGGCCTTGATACTAATGGATGTCACTTGAGGGCAAGATTAATTCTAATTGGTCCGGCTGTCAGTGATTCAGCAGGAAGTGAAACCACAGTGGGAGCCAAGAACATTCTGACTAAGTGTCACTGAACAGTGTCCAGAGTAGGTGGAGCTTATTGAATTCAGTTATATTATATATGTAAAGATTTCCACTTAGTCATCCCACTGAAATGTTTTCTCAGTTATGAGTCATTTTGGGCTCAGTTTTTTTTTTTTTATTCTGAAAGAATCGTAGTTGAATCAGTTGCAGACTGAATGATGTGGATTTGACGTCACTCCCGCTCACAGGATTTGCGGTTATTCAGGTTGTGACATGAGAGAGGGATGTATTGTACGGTCGCCACAGTCAGTTGTGGCCTCAGGCACATGTGGATTACATAACTCACCCACTTTTTTCTTTTTATTTAGACAAACTCCACTTTGTGAGATGCTTTTATACTTGGTCTCAGAAATGAACCTGATGTAACACAAGTTGAGGATTTGCTTTAAAAATTGAGCATGTTTGGCCTGGACATGATGTTTAAGGAATACATAGGAGTTAAGAGACCTGACTAACCCCACAGCATGTTGACATGTTGTGGTTCCTGAATAAGAAGTAGTTGACAAGCTGCTGAGAACAGAACCTGTATACTCTGAGGGTGGCAGCATCTGGAGGCAACACTTTGAATTGACACGCGCCTTCAAGTGCAGCTCAAGAGTGAGGCGACCCAGAGTGACATCTCTTAAAGGGATAGTTCACTGAAAAATGTAAATTCTCTCATCTACTCACCACCATGGAGTCTCAGAAGTAAACTTTGTAGCAGCTGAATCCAAAATAATTTAAGTCAACATACATTTCAGACATAATACAACATAACATTACTCCATACTGCTCATGTGGTGTCGCCCAAGTGTCCACAAGCCCCGACATTCATATTCAGCCCCCCCCCCCCGGTACTATTGTAGTATACAGTTTCAAAGATCAATGAACGTAATTCTAAAGAATATTCACTCTGACGTTTGAATTGGATTGAAAGTATCCAAAATAAATCGCTGCAATACAGAGGCACACCAGCTGAATGTGTGGCACACCAGTGTGACCAAGGAACATTTTTAGTGGCACGTCAGACCTTTGTGAACGATTTACATTATTGGTCCACGGCAGGAAGAATGTTAGCAGGGCAAAGGAATGTATTCTCAGTGTAAGTGCAGTTAGACCCTGACGCCTTGTCTTCTTGTTCCCCTGCTGCAGGCCTCTGAGGACCTCCTGAACCAGCACTATGCTGACCTGAAGGACAGACCTTTCTTTCCTACCCTCATCAAATACATGCGCTCTGGACCAGTGGTTGCCATGGTGAGATGATTGTATACGACAGTATGGTGGGTTAGACAATAAATCCAAAAGGCTAAACTCTTGAGAGGAGCTCTGCCACCGGGCCGTTGTGCAGACGATCGTCCAGTTTGAACTGCTGCCACAGAAACATGTTGTATTTTGAAGCCCACTAGCAAAGTGGCTTTGTCTCACCATCCCCGTTGGCTTTTGCAGGCATGGGAAGGCAAAGGTGCAGTGAAGACTGGCAGGGTGATGCTCGGTGAGACCAACCCCGCTGACTCCAAGCCCGGAACCATCAGAGGAGACTTCTGCATCGACGTCAGCAAGTAAGTGCTGAATCTGACCGCTGTAAACGTGCCAGTACAGTTTGTAAAACGCTGATGGATTCATTTTTCTTTCCTTTCACAGGAACATTATCCATGGCAGTGACTCAGTGGAGAGTGCCAACAAGGAGATCGCCCTGTGGTTCAAAGATGACGAGCTGGTCAGCTACACTAGCTGTGCCTTCAGCTGGCTCTACTAAGCTGTCCTGGCTAACTGCAGCAGTTCTCTCTCACTGGTCGGAGACCACTGAAACTTTTGCCTCAGATTTCCAGTTTTTCATCTGTAGCAGAGGGAAGAACTGTCAAGTCCCCACATTCCCATCCTTCACTCAGCCCATTGTCGTACTGTATTGGCATCTGGTCTCTGCGGGGTCCATCTAGTCTGTACATTCCTGAGTTCATTCCATTCCACCTTCTCCTTGACAGTAGTTAACGATTTTAAACTTGTCTTTGACTGTTGTTTAAAGGTGATCTGCTTTTCAATAAAACGCTCACAATACCAACTGTCTTGTCTTTCGGATTTCACACGCATGTACATATGATCCTATGAATCTGAAATGTGGAGCATACACAATCCTCTGCAGACTTTTAAGATGTCAGTTTGTTTAATTTGGACTGATGAAGCCTCGCAGGAGGTGGGGGAAGGCAAGTGAACAGTCTCACCTGCCAGTACTGTTCCTCTTCTTGTGATACTCATCCTCCTGAAAAAATAGTGCATCATGGGATTATTTTTAATGTTTTAAATGTTAACCTGGGACTGTCTTTGAGGATGGAAATCCAGTTTGCTGGGCATGTGAAAAAGCGTGTCTACATTTAAACGTAGACCATACAATGTTAACTCAAATTAACTTTTGAACATGCACACTGACCCCGATGAGACTTTAAAGTAAATTGGAAACTTTTAAGAACTTGTGATATTTCTCTGAATTGCAGAAAATCAACAAATATGGAAAAACGTTGCAGTTAGATGCAAGATGATCCTAAAAAGCTCCGACTGTTTTAGAAATGTATTTGTGTAATACATGGTATCATGGCCACATTTTCTGCATCAAGTACTTAAAATGTGTTTTGTCACAATGTATGCATGAAGATTTTGAAAGTAGGACCTCTGATATTAACAGAATAACCTGCACACTGTGGTATTAGTACTTTAATCAGAAGTTCTTTATTAATCCCCATAGGGAAATTCAAATGCAAGTCAAGGATGTGAATACTTCCTTGACTACAATACTGTGATTTTTATCATTCCATGATATTCACATGCTGCAACCTGGATACTTCGACAAGGCCCAAATCATGACAGCACAAATTGTGTGACTTTATGAGACTGACAAAAAGAGTTTGGTTATAATTACAATTAAATAGAGTCAATTGGGATTTTAGACCTTGTTACGCCTAATGAGGAAAATTGTGATTTATGAATATAACATTTGATTGATTGATGATTTGTGATAAGGAGCTAACCCTTGCCATGGTCCTTTAAATGTCGGTCATATACTTACTGCTGAAACTCTTGACAAAGACATCCATCAGCGTTTGTAGTCATAAGCCTTTTTTATTCAGTGTAAAAGTCAGATCTTACAAAAATCACCAGATAAACTTTCACAGCCATGCGGAAACTGTTTGCAACGCTTGTAAACAAAGAAGCCATCCATTACAACCAATACTATGATCCAAACATTTGGCTTTATTTACAAAGTCTATCAAAGCTTGATCACAGCACAAATTTTACCATATGAAAGGAAACTAGTACACACTATCAAAAAGATGTACAAACTTTAAACTGCAATCTAATGTACCTCAAGGGTCAGTGTTAATATCAATAGATTTATAACTATTAACATAGATTATTTTTTATTTGTATCCAAAATAAATTTTGCACCATAACCCTCTCAATTCACAAGTATTTTCAGACAATAGTAATCCCAATACATTAAGTCATTTTTATCAAATATATATAGCACCACGATATAATGGTTTAATATAATTAGAGGGGGACCATCACATACAAAAGACCCGTGTTAGTATCCAAGAAAAACAAATATTAACTTCAGTTTGCGCCTCATTACTGCCCCCATCTGACAGAACCAGAACCCTGCAACTACAACTGAGTCCTGCTGATGGAAGCCTATCACCAGGGGGGAGAGGATTCACTGTTATGGTGAGTAAAAAAAAAAATCTGTCTAATGACATCTTAAATCAGAATTTGAGTCAGCTATGGGATAAGTTACAATCTGGAGTGATCAAACCAAAATTATTACAGTAATTACAACTTTTTCAGATCATAAGAAAACTAAATTGAAGCTCAAACTTTAACAGACACCAATTTTTTTGACTTAATAACCCAGAATTATGAGATACCAAGCTGAAATGATTGAATTGAGTTCAACCTGATATAGACAAGAATAAAATAAAGCCAAAATTATGACAGCTGGTCAAAATGTGAATAATTGCGACGTCAGCATTTTAATTTAAGTCAAAATTATGTTATTATGCAATATTAAGTCAAAATCATTACAATAAACCTTTTGACAAACTACAAGAGTTTTGCTTTCGTAAGTTGATTTTTACTTTGCATCTCACAATCTTGACCCTTCCCTCTCTTGGTGGAAAAAGGCTTCCATAGCTTCCTGTTTACAGCGGAAGAGGAAACAAGGAGACAAACAGAAGTTCAACAAATAATGGTCACGACAAAACAACAAGTTCAGCGCAATGAGCTCTGTTCTACATGCATTCAGTTGATCAGTGCACCCAATTCCACATTAAACAAGGATCCAAAATTGCTTCCATGTCCAGCTACTGATGAGCAAACACTTAAAATACACAGGTACCCGTGGATAAAGGTCAAACATGTTCCACTGATGGATTTGGGGATCAATGGTGAAACAAGAATATCTACAAGGGAAAGTGAGAAACAGAAGATCCAAAATGGTGCTGATTGTGCATTTGATTATTTAGGGAGAGTCTGGGGAAGGGTAGCAGCAGTTAGTCCATACAACAGTCGTTTTAATTTTTTTTCATCTAAGCTATTAATGCAGTTTTGTCGTGAAGTACTTTAATGTTTCCTTCTGCTCTCTGACATCAGTTAAAAAGAACTCCGGATGCTAGCTTGAAGCTAACCTCCTTCTAATGATTGTGAGTAAAATGTCTTTTATTGCTCATTTGGTCTCAGGAGCTCAGCGTTCCAGGCGAGCTTTGTGTTCAATCAGATCAGGAGACAAATCAATAAGAAATTAGTAGAAATGAATTCCATATTAGAAATAAGTGTAAAACAAGCTACAAAAAGCCAAACAGCATCCGTGTTAATTTTGTCGTCACTCAAATGTAGAATTTATCATGAAAACCCAATAAAACCCAACAAACGTGAATCGGAAAGTGAGATAAGACCTTTGTTGTTTGAACAGAACGGAAACAAACAAGCACCGTGATAATTACAATCTTTTACGCAACTTAACACCGCATTGTGAAATTTAACCATTACTCAGCACTTGAATTTGAAATTCCACTGAATTTATAGTATTCAAATATTTCATCAATTAGAATTTCTCTGAAAATAGGCTTTGAAAGGTTTTCCTCACAAATTCAAATACAAAATGTAACTGTGAGAAGTTACACACATTCAATTGTAGGGTTTCCCCTGAAGCGCCAAATTAATTTTTTTAAAAGAGATTTTGTAAGAGTTGATTATTTGTGTGCACAAAATTCAAAACATTTTAAATCCTTTTAATGTTTTTCAAAAACTAAACATTAATATTTTATCTGAATCCTAAAAACATTCAATGAAACAAAAAAGATTTTAATAGTCTGGTAGAAATTTTGAGTAAAATATTTCAATGCATGAAACTCAGTGGTAACTAAACGTCAAACATTAAATCCGGTTGTGTTTGAACTCTACAATTTTCTGTTGCTTTCAACATCGTCGTGATTCTGGCTCTTGTTTGCTTCCACTCAACCGATGCACAAAATGAAAAGACCATTGAGCTGATTCAGACTTGCTACAACATTTACAACAAAGAAAAGAAATCACAACTTCCTGAGAACTGAATCATGAACCTTACTGGTAGAAAGAGAAATTATGGATCGTTTCAGTGAAAAGTTTAAATCTGCTCTTCATGTCATTACCACCTTTGGCCATACGGTCACTTTTCTGTGTGTGCACCTTTAATCACAAAAACCACAGCTATATAATACCATTTTGTTAAATCATCTCATCTGTTAATTATATTAATGTCGTGATCATAACATTTGCGGGTGCTATGCGATTTTTTTCTTTAACACGGCAAAATAATATCGGATCTATCACTATTGCATATCATTCAAATTAGAAGACTACCTCATGTGCTATGATAAAAAGTTTCTTCCTTGTTTGGTGTCTAGTCTTCAAGTGGATCATTTGTCGGTTATCATTTTTCATTTGCATATGCTAACACATATTTCACACACTTTTAGCTAAATGTGGCTAGCATCAGGAGGTAGTAGATAAACAGCTGCAAAGGTCTAGCTCTAAGAAGAATGAAAGAGTCTTCGTCGTTTCCACGGCCAAGCAGTAATTACTGACTATACCATCATGGTCAAGTATATATATATATATATA